TGTTCGACTTCGGCGAAGCATGCCTCCGAGCATACCCTCGGAAGATTTGATGTCCTTCGTCTTCGCACCATGCGAAGCATACCTCTGGAGCTTCTCTCCAAGGGAACCTCAAAGAAACACATGCATGTGGTGGAGATAAGCTGGGTGAATGGAGGATTGGTCGTGTCTCATATATAGTGTGTAGGTGGGTCACATGTGGATTCAGCACTTGCCACAGTGATGCCAACTTCGCCACACTGCTTTCGGAGGATACTGGAGCTCAAGGAGGCCGGTGGAAAAATGAGCAAATGTAGCCAGGATGTTTTTGCCTGTTCGATATGTGCTGTTTAAGGGAAACTAATTAATTGCATGGAATAAGATTGGAGAGATATTAGACCTGGTGATCTATGGTAAAGGGACATCAATTAAGTCCCCAGTGTTTTGGGTGCTTTGCGTATGCATTGGAGGAATTGGGTTTTTCCCCCATTGTATGTTCAAGCAAGTTGGGGCTAGGGCAGCTAGGACCTCAATCTAGAGTGAAGCACAACTGGAGACTTGTACAGTTGCAGCTTCCTGGTTGATCGGCATGCCGCTGCAACCCAGGCCGCAAGCGAAGCCTTTCTGCCGAAGGCGTCTTGAGGCCGTGAGAGATGGGGAGGGTTGTAGGAGAAGGTGTTTTGGGATGTGTGGATTCATCCACTGAAGGTTGTTTTATATTTTGCAGTGGGAACTACTGCACTGGATTTAATCTGGATACTGCCAGGGGTGGTTGAGATGAAGTTCCTTTGCGAGTTTGTCAGCTTTCCAAGTTGGGCGATGCACGAGCCACCTTGACAAACTCAGAATTAAGACCTGGAATCCTGGAAGATGTTCTGTCTTGGGGGTCTTAGTCCGGCTGAATGTTGTGGGATCGCGGCTGCCTTTGGTCTCGGGATTAGACTCTGCCAGATCTGCAAACCGAGGAACCCATGGAGTCATTGGATGGCTCTGTGTGTAGTCATTTGATTCTGACTGAGACTGAGATTTAGTCTTTTCTCAGTGTCCAACCAAAACCAGACCCGAGAATCTACAGGGGCGTGAAGCGGGGGAAGTATCAGTTCGAGCTCTCAGATGGTTTGGCGCCTCAGTTCCGGGTTTGGTTACGTGCGGGCAGCACCATTTGCAGCACTCACTGCTCCTCGTGAGCGATTCAAAAAGCATCAGATACCGGAAAAATGACCATTTGGCATGTGACATATCAGAATCCACGGCATAAGTCGGAGTGAGAAAACCAGCATCTCCCACAATTATTCCATGAACAGTTTGCTTAAGGCCCCAAGACTAGACATTGACATGGTAGAGTTTAGGCAGTTTAGACCTTGAAAACTGTACCAAATGTTCTTCAAACCAAAAGAAACAGACCAAAGACACACCCACCCCCTCGCACCGGGTACGCCCACCAGTTGCACCCACCGTACGCCGCCTGAGGCACTGGGACCCTGGAGGTGACGCCCAACGAGATCCAGCTGCTGGGCTCAGCGTGTCATGCTTCGGAGCGCCGAAGTCGAGGGTCGATGCGACGACGCGTGGCGCATCGCGATGTTTGCAGCCGAACGGGTTTCGTGGGAGATTTCATGTTTATAACTACTACTGGTAGTGGCCTGAAGTATAGATGATCTGGTCAGGGGAATTGAGATGGACCGGGGTGGAAGCGGGATATATATTATACTGTATTCTGGTTGTGACTCGGAAAGAATTGTTCCAGGTGGTTTGATGGGAATGTCAGCCTTGCCCGCAGATGGGATGGTCAGCAATCACAAGAATGGGATGTTCTAGCGGAATTTGCCACAATTCCTGTTGAGGGGCTCAGCTATCAGATGCATGTGGCTTCCGGTTTGCCATTTGAGGCCACTGCTGACAAATAAGGAGGCGGTGCGGGCGAGAGACGTTTGGAGGAAACATCTATCAGTCTATCAGTAGATGGACTTGGGAGGCAAAGTCACTGCCCTTGATGCCCACGGTAGGGGCAAGATCTGGATGAGAATCACATCACTGGTAGCAACCTGTTTTGTCGGGTTTCCGCGAAGGATTATTTGGTCGCAGTTAGAGTCAACGGGTGTCAGGGTTGGACTTGGCGCCTACAGTGACCGAGGGCTTTGGGGGTGAGTATGAAACTATGAACCCCTCTCAAACTCCAAGGAAGTGAATGTTTGCCTGCTGTTCGGTAAACTCATGCTAACTCTAGATAATTAGAGATATAAAAACCATGGACCATGAGCTCCCTGTGTTCTAGTTCGAGCGTCCAAAACACACCTCTGAGTTCGTTCGTTCCAGGGAGCAAACGATGAACTGCCCCCATGACAACTTGCTTTCCCACCAGATGTAGGTGTCAAATCAACAGATCCACCTGCTGTGTCGACCCTTTCACGTTGTTGTTGTGAGGCCGAGCGGCTGAGTGCTGCTGGCATTTTTGAGGCCAGAGCATGGTGAGATTTGTTTCGGATTGATAGGGAGGTAGGGGAGATTACTGTAGGCCACAACCAAGCACCAAAGCCCATTCATTCTTTGCTGCTCATGTTTGAGATGTTTACATTGCCTGCAGGATGATTGCATATTTTTACTTATAAAGCCTCACCCCAGACAGACGTCGGAAATATACTATACTGTAATGAAATAAACATATACAGGTCAAATGATCTTTGGTCGTCAAATTGGCTTGATTGTTTTGACTTGTTCAATTGCGAGTGTTGTTTCTGCACTGCATGTTGCAATTACTATATATTTGTGCATGGTGCTTTTGATCGTCATGTTTTCTGTGAAGATGTTTGAGAAGACAGGTCCCCGGCTTGGAGACCTTGGAGTCCTCATTTCCAAGCCGGGATGGCCCGCTGTTTGTCGGAGCAATTGTGGAAGTAGTGATTCTTCAGCGTCGCAGGCCAAAAGCTGATGTCAAGGTGCATTGGGTATGGACGGGCCAGTTTCGGTCGCAGAACATGTCCAGCAGCATAACATAGGAAGTAGATTCGATGTAGATATCAATCATGGTTCGTTCTGTTGTTGTTTGTCCTGGAACTGTTATCACTTGCATTGAAGCCAACGCTTATGTTCGAAGAAACCAAAACAGCATTGGGTACGCAAGACTTGGTGTTCGCTGGTTTTAAAGAGTTGAAGTTACTGGGAAATGTAGGGCACTGTGGACAGCAGAAATTGAGTTCTTCAGCGATGCACCTTCTTGGCAACCACCGGAGGTTCGTGAACACTGAGCCTGGACCGTTTAGGCAAAGCTGAAGGTTTCTGGGAAGCAGCCATTCTCGGCCCCAGACTTGCTCGAGTTCGGCAGCTTCTCAGGCCTGCGTTGTTTTTGTTTTCCCGCAGGAGTGCCTGGGACTTGTCCACTTTGGGATCAAGTCCAAATCCCCAGGGAGGAAAAGGCTGTACTGTGCTGTATATAGATACAAAAATCGACCCCTGGTCTCAGCAAAGTTTAAAGCAATGATACATAAGATTGTTATGTGTGTTCAATTCTCTTTTGGGGGTGCTTTGCTTGTAGGAGTTTGTTCAATATAATTTACTGTATCTCATGTAGAGTTGTAGAGGCAGTTATGTAGGTGTGCTTTCCGTTTAGGCGTTCAGTGTTTTTTTTGCAGATTCAATGGTCTCACCAGGCATTCAACAGCACGACCAAATGACAATGTGCTGCAAATGATTGATCTGCGAATTTTGTTTGAAGAGGCCTCAGGGGCACCCAAAACGAGGTTGAAGTACGATAGATTCTCCATGATTCGCCAAGTCCCCGGCACGAATTTTTAGGGTTTTAGGGGCGTGGAAAGCACTCGGCTGACCCGAAACGAGCGTGAAAGACGCCATCCGGGGGTTGAGACGAAGGACTCGGGAAAGAGTCCTGCTGTACAGCAAAGGATTGGCTCGTGAGAAGAACGAAACGCTTCGTTTGGAAGTTGTGTTTAGGAGGACGATGAAACATGGAAATTGGATGAGTTGGGTTCATGAAGTAGTCGTCAGATGCTATGGCTTGTACATTCAGCTACTGAGAGGTGCAGTCCCTTTGTTCCTGTGGCTTTGGGGGGCAGTCACAGGGAGTATCATGGTGATGCTGTGAGTCACGGGGCCGTGAACTGTGCTTAATAGCGTCCTTGCTCCTAGTCGCGATGCCAGGAGCCCCTAGTAGCGTCCTTGCTACTAGTGCTTATATAATTATATTATATTCCTCTTGGTTTGGAGATGAGCAAGATGAACAACGATAAAACATGTTGGACGACGTCCATCGTAAAGAAGCGCAGTTCAAAATGGCTAGGGGTACTAAGGGGTGAACATCCCATCATGTGTGCCCCGGGACAATATCCTTTTTGCTGTTGGAACAACATTCATTCACGCTGCCGTATTTAGCTGCTCGAATAATTTGTCTATCATTTGCTTTGTTAACTCAGGAATCAGGAAGATCATTTGTACTGAGTTGCGCGCAGTTGCGGCGTGGATACTCTTTTGATTGGCTGAAAAACAACAAAACGGGACATGAATGGCACATGTGCAAATCCCCTAAAGAGGCCCTGAGGTGTTGTAGGCAACGTTCCTACAGTCCACAGTCCGTATACATTCAGCACACTGCCTTCAGGAGGAACCCAGGCCCCAGAACTCGTAGCAGTACTGGGTCAACATATTGAAAATGGGGTTCACGTGCTTGACACAATCTCTCGGGGCTCAGATTGGGTCGTTGGTGATAACTTGATCCCTGCAGGTCCACAGAGAATTGCTGATCACGACCGCAATCCTTGCAGCTTTAATTCGACCTTGGATGAGCGTCCTTGCCCCTAGTAGCGATGCCCTTTGCTCCTAGTAGCGTCCTTGCTCCTAGTAGTACGGCCAGGAGCCCCTAGTAGCTTCTTTGCTCCTAGTAGGGATAACACGACCGCAATCCTTGGAGCTTTAATTCGACCTTGCATGGATCCACCGCGAGATGGAATGACATGGATGTAGCTTGATCCCTGGTGACCGACTGTGCTGACGGTGCATTGTGGGCATCACCCATGATCCGGGTGCTAGCGCTTCTCCCAGTAGCTCCGCTGGGCCTTCCGCTGGTATCCTCTGACTGGGCGAGGCGCTTGTGCACGCAGCCCACAGGTGCGCAGTCCGAGGGCGCACAGTTCGGGCTAGGGAAGCTGCCGGAGATGATGGTCTGTGAGAAGGAGATTCGGGAGGAGAGGAGAGTGAAGTTAGTGAAGCCCCCAATTGCCAGGAAATGGGAGCATGCTAGTGCGGTTGATTGCGGTTGAAGGAGCGCTTTGACACACGCACAAGTGGGAGCCAAGCATGCCAGAGGTTTTCCAAGGGTTGAGGCTACCATTTTGAAGAATGGATGAAGATCAGGGATCTCATAGCTCCTTCACGTGGTCTCTTAAAAATCCAGGATTCGAAGCACTGAGCCCAATCCAGTCGAGGAGGGCTGCGAGACTTATTCTTTGGGCTCTGGCTTTTGTGTCTCCTGGATGGCTCTACAAGGGAGCCTTCGATTGAATCGGAGTTCGATGCGTCGAGGTCAAAGCTTAGAAGTTCGGAATCAGTTTATCACCTGTTGCTACTAGTAACAAGGACGCTACTAGGTGGAGACCGTCGCTATCTCAGGTTGGAGGCCATTACTACTAGTAACAAGGGCATCGCTACTAGTAACAAGGGCATCGCTACTAGGAACAAGAAGCTACGGCTACTACCAACTACTGATTTGGAGACCTTCACATCTGGCCAGGCGTTATGTTCAACTCACCATGCACACAAGCGGGATTTGCAATCCTCAGGTCTCAGCCAGTTTCACTAAAGCACTTGATTGGGAAGACTGTCACTACTTGTGTTGTGTTGCGGTTTGTTACGGTCCACGCCCTAGCTGCTAGCTCATAGGCAGGGCTGGGGGTGGCACACCTAGTGTTGCACCCGGGTATTGAATCCAGGTTGCCGACCATCCCTCGGACTGTCACTCTTTGTCAGACATACGAACCATCGAGTCCAAACAGGCGACCCACGATCGAGGGACATGACATGATCTCACCTGGTGCTCTGAGGAAAAAGCTCAAGGCTGCAGTTGGCACGCCCTCCTGGCACAACTGTCACACTGAATCCTGGATTGAATTGACTACATACTGGTAGATGAACAGTTGAATCACTTGAAATGCTGGAAGAATGGGACATGGAGAACCTTTTCTTAGGTTGCAGGAGCAGTAAGGTAAAATGGGAGTCGCTGGCCGGTTCAAACTTTACTCTCAGGAATCTTTCTACACCCAGCTACAGCAGGGCAACGTCTTTCAACACCCTCCACCAATGCTGGACTGTCCCAGTACCGTGGCTTGGCATAGGCGGTGGGATCGGTATGAGGGACTTGGAGTATTCAGCCCGTGGCCAAAGTGGCTAGATTAGCAGCAGCCATTTTTGCACACTTGGTGAGGTTAGCACAGCCCCCAGAAAGTCAAAAGAGGTTAGCCCTGCCGTGCCCTCACCAGATCTCTGTGACCTCCACTGTCAAAAAAGTCGTGAACAGCCTGCTGGCATCCAGCTTTGCTTGACAAGGTTGTGGGAAAGTAGATCTACTGTAGGTGCGTGGGAACATCAGAATATGGATGAATATGGGGAATTTGCCACAGATAGCGACTTGCTTTCATGACTAGGATTTCAGCGGTGTGCAAGACATTTTTGGTGTTTAGTCTAAAAGCCTGCGACTACCTACTAGCATGCCAAAGCAGGTTGTGAATTTTAAATATGAGTGTTTGGACAGCAACAATATTTATGTGATGGTGTCTCATCTAATCCATTCGTTCGCAGCCAGGATCAGTCCACTAAACTAAAGCAAAGACTGGAGAGACTCCCGACCTGACCCAATGTGCGAAACGAGAATTCTAAGTCAATGAATCGATATGAATCACTGAAGATGACACTTCTTCTACGTGCATGCGGGACAGGTTGATAAAAATCTTACCCAACTATACAGTAACACTTTAGATCTACTTTCCAGCACCAGGTGCCCATAGCCATTCTGGCCGTGCCCAAAGCGGCCTCCAGCTCCTTCATCCTTTGGTTGGCGCAGCTCGAGGGCCGCACGGAGGGTCACTTGACCGCTGCGCTCTCCGCGCGCTCGTGCTTGGAGCTGGGCGCAGGGCGTGAGCGCCGGGTGGCGCGATGCTTGGCCACTTGGAGATGCCACATGCACGTGGCTATATATTCGGAATGCGTTTAAGGCCATGAAAGGCAATGCTGGGACTGTGTGTTTTGGGGGAAAACAATTCATGTGTATTTCATTGTAGAGTCTTTGTAGAGTTGGAGGATTGATGGCAGTTGAGGCCGTTCATGGTTGGCAGGAGATATAACTTCACTATATAGCATTCCTGGGTCAATTTGGCAATGTGCGATGGCTACTGTTTATCACAAGTTCAAAGGGGGATCGATTCGGATCACAACAGAATCCCTGAAAAAGGTAAAGCAAACATCAATGTCAGCCCAATCAGGTCCACCCAGACGAGTCTGTCTTTCGCTGAGGCGAAGGCTTTCTACCATCCCTTCGCCAACTATTCCTCAAAGCTTCCAGGCTTGAACTTGAAATCCTTCGGCTGCACTCGCCAAAAGGCTGCTTGGCTGATGCACAGCTAGGATTGCCACAATCACTCCAAGCAAGGAATGCAAGCTGCATGTGTGGCAAGGTGAATGTTCCACCTGCAAGCTCCTTTTGGCCGTACAAGTTTCACTGGCCTAGCTATCGATGGAGAAATGTCCTGCCCCTTTGAACAGGCCAATGGACTGGCTTCATATGGACTTCGGTGGCATCAGACCTTGGGTCACCGAGCTGCAGGAAGGGCAGGGCCATGCAGGGCCTTGATAAGACGTGATTTGTATTTGTGACAGATTCATTGGGTGATGTGGACAGAGAAGTGTCTAGGGCTGTTGCATTTTGTTGGATTAAGATATCTACGTTCTACTCGTCGTTTTGACCATCAGATGCAGCGAGGTACTGGCTGGCTGGTGGCCCCACCTTTCCTGTGCCAGCAGTGCTGCATGCAGGGCTACGGGAGGCTGATGGTGATTTTAGCCAGAAATCCCTACATGATCCTTAGCTTGGCAGATGTCAAGGGGGGTTGTGTTCGGATGTCTTGTCAGTGGTTGGTCACGGCATGTCATGGCCATCGTTTGAAGTCAGTCTTGAGTCTTGAGAGATAGGCATTTTCTCAAATCGTTCCAAACAGGGTCCAACACTTGAGCTTTCTGATGGCCAGAAAAGACTATTTGGGTGTAGGTCTAGTAGGTCAAAATGTGGACCCCCCGAACGCCGCCAAACCTTGCAGGTTAGCATCACCGCAAGTCCATGTGATTCCTTTTCGGGGCGTTGATCCAGTCCAGCTCCGCTGAGCTAAGGCGGATCGCATCGTACTTCAAACGCTGGATTGCTCCCACGAGGTTCTTTGGGGACTGGTCCATGTTTCCGATTTGGCTTCGACATCTCCAGCAGCTCAGAGGCGGAACATGTTGAACATGGTGGAACCGTTGGCAGGGGGCAATAGAACTGACGGAAGCTTTTTCAAAGTGAGTCATCGAAAAGCGTTTCTTTAAGTGTGGAGCCACCTGCTTGTGACCCAGATCAAGCCAAATCATCATGGAACCCCCTGGGCTTGTTTGCCACTCACTATATATTATTTATTGATTGAAACTTTTGGCATGGTTTGCCAAGTGTGGACATTTACTCGGCTCTAACTGATATAGATGTTGTTGTTTCCAAAACTATTTATTTATACACATAGTATACACATAGTTTTTCCCTAACAAAATGCTCTTCCACCAAGGCTGGCAAACTTGAGGCGGATATGATGTTTGTGTTTATGAAGACTTGGATATCCCATGATGTGCATACAAAGGTATGTCAAGATTCCAGGCTTGAGCACAATGATTTCCATAGATTCTTGCGTGTACTTTCTCAATAGGACTGCGAGACCTTTCATCGTTCTGAGGAACGTGAGCCGTTTCACTGATGGCTTCAAGGCCTGTCGCGGCAGGGGTGAGCTCAACTCGGATGATGTGCTGCACACGCGTTCGGTGAAGGAAATGTTGGATGATGATCGGGTGGTGCCTGGACGCTCCCATCGGCGATTCAATATCATACACCTCGAAACCCTCGCCACTTGGTGTTTCCGAAGATGTGCGCTGTGTTCGTTTTTGGCGGACGCTGGACTGTTGAAAGTTGAAAACCACCCAAAGCGGCAAAATCGTGTGCACCTGAAAGTGGAATCACAACCCCGCATGATTCCTTCGGCATCCACTGCACCATTGTCCCTATATAAGATATTATAAGATATTATAAGATGTTTAAGTGACATAAGGAAGGTGATTTCTTCTACCTGTTGACATTGTCATGGGTTCTTACATGTGTTTTGAGCGTCATCAGTGCCATCTGTCAGTGCCAGTCAAAAGAAACATGACAGTGGCCCCAGCTTCCCACAGTGAACCAAGCGGAAGGAGATCTTCGCCGAAAACATCAGAAAACCACTCGTTTCACATGTCCACCAAGGCCAAGGATCTGGAACAGCTTCAGCAGAGCTTATGCCAGTCCTTCAGCTTCTGCCGCAGCTTCCCGCCCTTCCCCAGCAGTGGATTTCACCACTCCAATGTGGCTGAACCGAACTGGAATGGTGCACTAGGGCTGGAGGTCTATATGAATTATAGTTTTGTAAATGTCATGGCATGTATATAATATTAATTGTGGGGCCCAAGAGCCGAGCTTATATACTTGGACGTGGTATGACGTGGTGGATGACCATGATTCGAGAATTGCGGCAGTGTTCACCACAGGAACCACCAGGCTCTGTAGAGCATCCTCCGCATACATGGACCAAACACTCTCGGCAATCACCAGGTGCAACAGGGCCGATCACCTGGTTTTGGAGATCCAAATAACTCCAAGTTTAACTCTATGATACTCCATGTAACTCCTACAATTGCAGAGCATTGAAAAAGATCCACATCCTGAGACCCAAACATGCAGTATATGAGTTATACATAATATATAAAGTAAAGACTTATGAAGTTCATTATAAGGCCCTTGTTGAAACGGATGTCCTTCCGTTCAGGTCTTCCGAGCACCTGAGGCGAAGAACTTAGTGAAGGATCGGATGAGGTGGCGGAAGATGTGGCGCGGCCTAAAGCCGCTGATGCTGGAGCGCTATGGCTGGGATTTCGAGCATTTGGGCTACTCCACGGAGCCCTGGGCTGAAGATGGTTGGACTCAAAAGGTGCATGCTTGGACTGGGGTGTTTTGTTGGGCTAGTTTTCATGGTTCTTGCGTGTGTCAGCTATAGGACATAGGATATAGGTTACTTGGATGGGTCCGCCTGTTATACTCTCCAGCACTACCAACGGGTTGCATGGACCCGATAGAGGACCATATCCCCAGGCATGTCCTTCTTGACTTTGCTTGACGGGTACGTACCAAGGATCCCTGGGATCTCATGCCACGTGAGACCGCCTTGACGCGAGCTGCATTGAGGAAAGATGGCGAGCTGCGGCATGTCTTCAGGGTTTGCAAATTCACTGATATTCGCTGCTGACCTCTTTAGCCTTCAAGTCCTGAGGTTTAAATCGAGTTTGTCCTCATAGCATCTCGAGACTAAAAGACACTCTCTTGAACCACTGGGGGCTGCTGGCACACTGACAAGTCTTCGATTTGTCTCATCTGGACCGCCCCGCGCAGTTGCTTCCAAAATTGGCGGATTGGTGGAGAGAACGAGTGAGCTTGTGCCGCGCAGCAGGCAAGGGAGAGAGTCGCATGGTGTTTGGCTATATATTCATGTCAAACTGAATGCGCAAAGGACTTCCCAGAGCATGAATGACAATGTGTCAAGTTGTTTCAAGGACATGCATGGGTACATACTAAGATTCCAACCTATGTTGGGAACACGGGTAACCATCGATAGCCTCAAACTGGACCCGTGACAAGTGGTTCTGATGTTCTTGCCCACTTCAGCGAATCTCGTAAGATTCCTTCGTCGATTCCACCTGTATATATATTTGTATATCACTTTGCTCATCATTTAGGATCAAGCATATCCTTTGCCTCAACCAGAGCACTAGAGCAGTGCGCATAGTGCGCTGTGGAGGCGTCCCGGTGTGCAACGGCCCAGAGACCACACCGGCCTTTGCACAGAGCTCGCTGGATGTGATGTACTCGCGGCAACTCCTAAAGGACCCACGTGCAACAGCCCAGACGGTGCGAAGTGGGATGTTGTCAGTGGACTTTCTGATTCAAACAGAAATACAGCAGCCCTCAGTGCAGGTTTCCCCGAGATGCTGCCAGTTCTGGGCATGGGCAAAGGTGAGAGAGAGAGAGAGAAAGAGAGAGCCTAATAGAGATGGCCTCCAAACTACTTGCGATGGCCTCCACCCTAATTAGTAGCGATGGCCTCCAACCTAATAGAGACAGAGCGAGAGAGAGAGAGAGATGACCTTGAATGAAGCCTTTGATAGTTTCTCGGATTGGACGCCTCCAGGATTCCCAAATCCGCTGGGCAAGCCCCGCTTGCAGGCCAGCCAAACCTAGCGCGTGCGCATGTGCGGGTTGAAGGAAGCATGGATTTGCACATTTGGTTGCTCTTTCTGAATTCAACCTGAAAGCCACCAGTGTGGGCACCACCTCGATTGAACAAGGTCAGGTCTCTAGAACAAGATCCAGACATATTCAGACTGTGAGATTGATTTAGCTGCTTTGGAGGCCAGACTTGGGGGAGACCTCCTTAGCTTTGGTTGACGCGCAAGAAGAGAGCGTTGAGGCTGAGACCGCCGAGAGAGTCTGTGTGGAGAGATACTTGTGGGTCAGATGGACAAGCTCTAAAGTTTACAAGAAACTACTGTGGTTGGTTGACAAGGAACAATAAGGATTTGTTTCTAGGAACAGTTACATCATGTGAACCATGTGACATCTTGTCTCCGGCAATCAACCTCCTCTCCACAGCAAAGCAATGGGGCTTGAATGCTTTAAGGGCATCCGATCCAAACACCGGGTGTTCAACAATCGTGGAAAGTCGCCTCTTGGCAGGAAAACTGAACTTGTCCTTCCGAGGGCAACCACGGAGATGCCAGTTCAAGTAGAAGATAAGCGCAAGATGTTTTTGACAGTGTTGTGTTTCCGCAAACTCAAATCAGCTTGTATGATTCATGTGCTCCCGCAAAGGGGCCCACTATGCTGTGGACGCTCCAAACATACAGTCATGACAATGTTACTTGTAATAACATAATATAACATCCAGAAGACCAAAACGAGAAGAAACCAAAAAGGCAGTCGGAGACCTCAATCTCCTGGGAAGTCCTTCCAAACGAAATGATCGTTTCGGCGAAATGCACAGGCGCTTCGTTGGGTCCTCCAGGGCCGGGATTTGGCCGAGGGCCGTGGAGGAGGGCAGATCAATCGGTCCGGAGTTCCCAGCGGTGCAACGGTGACCGAGGGAGGAACGAGGTGAACATCCATAAAGCCAAGCCATTTGGATGTGCGGTCCAACATGTGTAGAGCCTCCAACCTTAACAGAATAGTGAAGGGGAGCCTTGGTTAAGAGTTGCTTGTCGCTTTCAGAGGCTTAATTGTCACTCTAGGCCGCCTAGGTTCTAGGCCTTTTGTATCGCGCCTCCAAAATGATCCTCACAGAGATATCTTCCAGGAGATTCCTCCATTTTCGAGAATAATCTAAAGGTTTCCGCTGTTAAAGCCAGCGACCGACTCCCTTCCTGGACTCCACTTGCTCTATGACTTTTGTGGAATTACGAATGTTGGTGGGTGCATGTGTTTGCAGGGCTGCGGTAAAATTGGTACTTGTTTATAGCGGCTAGCGTTTTATACTTTCTGAGACTTGTTTGGTGATTTTCCAACTAATCCTTCAAGATTTCTAGCCATCTCGTGAGCTTTAGGTTGAGGGAGTTTGTAGTAGAAAGCAGCAACAACCAAGTCAAATTGTCCTGGCGAACGAATCTCAAGGCTCAGCTAGTTCCGCATCAGGACCATCAGGATGTCTCACGGTTTTGGCTCCCTAGCAACTTCTAGGTGTGGGTCATTCAAGAATACTCGGGTCCGCAACTTGGGAAAATTACATCTCATGACTCATGCCACTCTCTGGCTCTCTTCTTTTGTGAGTTTTGCCCCGGCAATTCTGGCGAACATTCACCGCTTCAGCCTGACGTCCTCGTTTTCTCTCCCCAGGCCGGGCGTTTACCGCACCATTTGCCTGGAGGCTGGCTCCAGACACCGGCGCGATGCGCCGATTCGATCTCGTTCTGCATGCGGCGTGGCCACACGTTTGCGGCTGGTGTTGTGTGAAGAAAGAAACGTGTTGATGGTAATCCAGCTGCAAGTCAGATTGCCCATGTCAAAGACCAAACACAATATGAAAAGATAGGAGTAAGGATGAAGGTGATGATCCAAAGATCCCGTGTCTCCCCCATACCTCACGGACCATCGCAGTTGCCATCCCATCGGACCCGCGTGAGGTGAATTTGCGCAGCAAGTTGTGCGTGTGTGCTCTTCAGCATGCCAGGCCCTGCAAGGGCCAGAGCTGGGGCGGAGAGCTGGGCTTTGGTGGGAAACCGTGGTGCATTGTGGTCTATGTGGTTCGCTAATACGTGGTGGTCGCTGGACAAGACCATCAAAGCGTCAAGCTGAAGTTGATGCCTTCATTCGGCACTCAGTCCAGAGATGTCATGGGAAGCCGTAGAGACAAAATCGACACAATACTGGAATGCCTTGTGTCAGGTGTGCATGTAAGACGATGTTCATCAGCACTCGGTGATTGATGTCGTTCACTAATGCTCATTGGAAGGTCACGCTACTAGTGTGACGCACGTTCATGACTTCGTGTCGTTCATGCATTGCACATTCCCCACCTACAAAACTCGTTTCTCTCCTGGCCACATCCATATTGTTGTGTGCTTGACTTTGAGAAGCTCATGTCATGACATGAGCTTGCGAGTTTCTCAACCTTTGCTCGCCTGAGATACCTCAGCGACATGGAGGGCGGAGAGTTGAGCCGGAAGATGATCCGCAAGGCGACCGTCTTTGGCGACGCTGGGACGTCCGGCTTTGGTTTGGGACGGCGAGACTAGACGAGACGCCGGACACGTTGTTTGGATGCACAACCGGACACAGCTGGCATGGCGTTGCAGGTGTTCTTTTCGAAATGAGCAACGGTGTATTGTTTGTGAGGTGTTTTCTGACTGTGCAGCAGTGTTTTGAGAGTGTGCATTACAGGGAATTGTATAATCCGCCCGCACCGAAGGTGCTGAGGCGTTTTATAGGGCACGCGAGCATCCGTTAGTATCGTCAGTATACTATAGCTTTAGCTAGGGGGGGGGGCATTTTTGCTCTAGAATCCTGTGTTTTTTCACGTTTTTGGAACCGGCTTAAAGTGCTTTCGCGCTAATGTTGGGTATCTTGAAGGCTTTAGGGATGCAAGAAATGCAAGATTCTGCTTTGCATCATCTGCATCATTTGGACATTTGGCTGAACAGGTTCCCCTAACGGGGCTCAACATAGCTTCCATATTGCGTAACCACTATCTAACGGACGTGTCTGCGAGATAGGGACTTGAACGTCCGGGTACGTGGCTGGTCAGGAGCAGAGATAAGCAGATCAGGTCCAGGAACGGTAACATTATCTCACGAGCATAGCTCCCATATGGTCGAACATAACCCCAGAAGTCACTATCTCAAGTATGCTTCCCCGAGATAGGTACTTGAACGTCGTAAACATGGCCCAACGAAGGCTCAAAAGGGACTGGAATAGAGTGAAGATATTGCCTAACATAGCCCTAGAAGTCACTATCTAAAGGACGTGTCTGCGAGATAGGGACTTGAACGTCGTAATATTGCGTAACATAGCCCTAGAAGGCACTATCTAACGGACGTGTCTGCGAGATAGGGACTTGAACGTCCGGGTACGTGGCTGGTCAGGAGCAGAGATAAGCAGATCAGGTCCAGGAACGGTAACATTATCTCACGAGCATAGCTCCCATATGGTCGAACATAACCCCAGAAGTCACTATCTCAAGTATGCTTCCCCGAGATAGGTACTTGAACGTCGTAAACATGGCCCAACGAAGGCTCAAAAGGGACTGGAATAGAGTGAAGATAGCCTAACATAGCCCTAGAAGTCACTATCTAAAGGTAGTGTCTGCGAGATAGGGACTTGAACGTCGTAAACTGGAATAAAAAACACCCCCTAACGTGGCCAAACATAGCTTTCATATTGCCTGACACGTTGGGCCATGTTAAATCCCTATCTCGAAACATGGAATCTATGCTCGGCCACGTTGGGGAGGGGGGGGGCACTTCCGGGGCTATGTTCGGTGGAAATATTGGCCCCTTCCATGCGGTGCGGGCGGTTACCGTCGCGAAGCGACGTGAATATGATATTATATGTGTTTTTTGTTTTCTCGCTTCTCTACCAATTGTAGGAATTGGAGTGAAATATTGTATGTACATGTGGATGTTTCAAAGATGTTCAAAGTTTTTCTATATTTGTCTATGTCGTTTCCAGTTTCTTGGCTTTGGTGTGACTAGCCGTTTTCAGACAGAGCTTCAGGGGGGTGGTTTCATCCCTTCAGAGAAAATGTCCAGAATCATATTCGTTGTCATGTTTCAAGTGAGGTTGCCCCCACAGTATTTGGGTCGATCTCTTTTCTTCCATCAATTTTTGTATAGCCCAAAGGGAGGACAGAATCATCCCATATCAACCCTTGCGCATGAAACGACGCCGAAGCGCATGAAACGGAGACACCGGTGGCCCACCGTCCTAGTGGAGGTCGCAATCTGGGCCAGGTCGGCACCGACAGCACCGTGCGGAACATGGACCACAGCTCGGAGGCGCGATACGGAAGCGAAGGTGATCACCAGAACTGGCGTGTTCTACGGAAGGAGGGGTCCCCGAGGTGTTAAGACCACGAGAAACATGGAAGTGGAACACAGCCCCGTTTGTCTTTGGGAGTTTCATACAGAAGCTTTCTGACCCCACTCACTCTGCAAGGCATTCTGGACGCCAGTGAAGACCCAGCAAAATGCAGTTCCATTCCACTTCTGCTTCGTCCGGGAACACAAGGAAAAACAAAGTAATTCGTTAAAGACCAGGACTAAGACCACCAATTTTTTGAAAGCCACCTCAGAAAGCCCCCTGTCTCAACCAGCCCCCCCCCCACTTGGCCTCTCTTAGAGCACGAGGAGATTAGTCTCCACCGGTGTCCCTGCGTCGTCCATCGAGGCCTCCGTGACCAACTTGGAGTCCTTGGTCTCCATGGTGCAGGACGAAGCATTACGGACGACGCGAACGGAGGTGGGAAGCGTTCCAGAGGACGAAAGCGAAAGGGCGCCCGAACAAAAGGAATGACATGAGACATGCTGAGACCACTTATGGCAATATTTTGGAAACAGAACGGATCTCCTTCAACCTGGCGTGGAATCCAGGGATGTCAGGTTATTCAAAAGCACACGGCCCTAGCGCTGAAGATCTCCAACCACCAAATCACTGGTCTGAGGTTCTGAAGCCGAGTAGGCCAAAGTCGGTTGGTTTTGCACAGTTTGACATGGGGGGGGTATTCCGTAGCACTTAATGGTCTAAAGGGCGTCCAAAGAAATGTGGATCTGAGTAAAGGATGCTGAGTTTATAGTTCCAGTATCAAAGCTCTGAGAGGGTGCACGGATGGATAGCAAACAGATGAACATGCGCAACAATTCAAGAGCGATGAGAAGATGCGGAAGACCCTATAAGATTCGACAACAATGGACAAGGAACCATTTCCAGATAGAAAATGACAGAAAGAGATAACGAAGAGGTAGAGCAAGTGTTTATCTCTTTGCGTTTAGCTCGTTCTGAAAATTACTTCGAGGGCTCCTGAAGTTGAAGCTTTAAGACATCACCACATCACCAAGTTCCATGCGCCTCTGTGTCCATGGTCCATGAGCCTTGGATTGTCACATGTTCCACGCTGTTCTTTCCCGCTGTCATTGTTCCGGACGTGGACGTGGGGATCTCGCTTTCTCGCTGGATCCGTTCCAAGCCACGAAGGTGGAAGTCAGGTTTTGACGTCTATGTCCTCAGAAAGAAGTTGCAATGTCAATACTTTGCAGTAACCTCTGAGGGCAATCTATACCTGGTAATCCTCCTTTTGTAGCTTCTATTACAAGTCTTCACCAATGGCAAATACCCAAGCAGGACGATTAAATGGACTCTCCACAGCCGGTGATGTTGGCATGAGTGTGTGTGTGGCCGTAGGAAAGAAGTCCTCCTATTTGCACAACTGATGTGCACTGCCTGACGTCCTGTGAGGAGATCTGCAGCGCCCAAGCGGCGAAAGCCAAGGAGATGGAAACCTTGCGGCAGAACTGGGCCAAGCAGAGCAGGGAGACCCGAACGGTTTTGGGCAGAACGTGCAATTTGTGTTATTTTGCCAGGGTGGTTTTGATGCGGTGTGAGGTTGAGCAACACTCGAACAGTTGGGGGACTTTGGCTGCTTGGGTCCTTTTTGGACATGAGAATTGTATTTGGATATTATCATTTCAGGAGCAGCAAACAGAAGGCTTTGATGCTTGTCATCCTGTTCAGAAAGCGATAGATTTAGCTCGCGCACATTGATTTGATGGAGTTCTGTAGAAGGGAGCAGACACTAGTAGGATCTCTCAGTGGATTCGATCTTCAGGTTGCTTCTGGATGTATTTTTGGATGGTGTAGATGCATATCAAAATCGGGCTTACCAAGTTGCACCACGGGAAGTCTCAACGGTTTGATGCACAACGCAACTAACTGCCAAGCCAACGTTTTGGCGAAACAGCCATGGACATCCAACGCACTAAGCTGGCCACTCCAAAGCATCCAAAGACGACGACTTTAAGACACAAACATCCTTTCAGAATACAGCAGTATATAGGGCTCCCAAGTCCTGTGATGAGGAAGATTAGCTGATGTTGATTTGATGTCATCTCCCCAAGTCTTTGTTCATATAGATGATTCCCCCCACCCCAAAGTCCGAGTCCCCACTTCAGGCGGCGTGACCCTGGAGGCCTTCGGCTGAAATTCGGACCAACATGGAGTCTGCAGAAGTGCAGCATCTACAAAATATTCTTGGCATGTTGAATCAAAAGAACATCTCCCGGCTGAAAACTGAAAAAGCCATGAGGCTATGAAACATTTGTTGGCAGCCTGAAACTCGCCTCTTGGTCCACTCTTCAAAGCCTAGGGGCCGACTAGTGCTCCTTTTTCCTGCTATGTTTGTTCACAACTAGTCGCTCCTCCAGAATCAGTTCCAAAGATGTTGACACGAGAGGGTCATACGGACCTGCCTTGGTGGTTGGACCGAGTACTGTATCAGATCTCTGAAATTGCAAGAAGTAAGTCCATGTCATGACCGTCCAATCCGCTGGTCAGTCAGACGAGAACGTCCTATCAAGCTGGACAAATACGTGCTATTTGTAGAAATTGCCAACAAATCTAAGGTCCAATGCTATAATCCCTAGGTACCCCATAATTATGAGCAACCGCCAAGCGTGACTAATTTCCTACAATTTAGAAAAGAGCGGTCTTGAATTTCAGGAAAAAAGGCTAAAACCTGCAAATGCGATAATAGGCCCCCTCAAGAGCGATAACCATATTTCCGCAGTTGTTGGAGATGTTCAGCTGTGGTGCAAACAGAGTGCTTTGAGAGCTCCTTCCCTTTGTTTCCCAGAAATGCACAGCTTGCATGGTGTATCGGGGCAGCGCTTCTCGCTGCCAGGGACCGTTTGACGAGGATGCCTTCAACCAATTGGCCGAGCAGTGCGAGGTGCTGCAGTGGCAGTTGTGAACTGGAGTGCTGAACAAAGGACGGCTGAAGAACCCCACAAAGAAAGGATGAACAACCTTGGACACAAGAAAGGATGGCTGAACAACCTTGAATCAACCCCACGAGAATAGGTTGTGTGGAATCAGAATCATTAGGTATCCTGCCCTGTGACGCCAGTGAGCTTCCTGCACATCCAACAACCCAGCTGCTTATTTGGAAGAGTTCTGCTCACAGGGTTGCCTTGTCCTATGGTGGGAAGCGGGCGCATCAGCGCATGTTGGATTGGGGTGCATTCTGTAATGCGCCAAAGGTCCTTAGGGAGGTCTGAAAAAAAATCTGCTCTTCTCAGCAACTCAGAGACTTTAAATAGACAAAGTAGGTAGTGAACGCGCATGTGCCTTAGACAGCTTGAGGCATTGCGTAGAAAGTCTTAGAGTTATATAATAGTAATAGTGCTAATTCAGGACGTGAATGAATGGCTTAGAACGTTTGTGCCGAACACGTCCTAGGACGTCCGGCTGATGCGCAAGTTGCAGGAGCTGATGGTGTCGCCTCGACACCGGAAGGGTTAGAAACCGAAAGAGTCAAGGCGTAAACCCAACATGTGTGGAAGATAGTACAATCCAAGGAGGCAAGTTGTGTGTGTGCGCGTATGTGTCTCAAATCAAGAGACCTGTTAGAGGAATTCCCCTTCCGTAATACCGACGAAAACACTATTTAGATCTGTTTTGATATTTTTCGAGGTATATGTTCGCAGACCGTTCAGCCTTTGAAACGGGCCACTACCCTACACTTTGCAAAAATATGCATGAGACAAATGTTCGAAGTAGGAAGGGTTGCAGTCGAAGCGGAAGATCGGCTGTTGCATCCCCTCTTCTACGTGTGAGGCAGATGAGCAACCACTCTTATTTGGGCTTGACAAACGTATTATACAGCATGTACTATGTGTTTGTCCACAATTGATAATTTGGATTTGCTCATGAACGAGATAGGGGTTCTCAAACACGGAGATACCTTGGTGAATGACATTGATTTCTTGCTAGCGAGCCTGTGATCTGCCAAAGTACTCTGAACCACATAGTGTCAGAGTGTGAGCATGACAACGGCTGAGCTCCTCCTAGAGTAGTCCAAACAAAAAAGGGGCCTCCTCAAATGAATGGTGTGTATCCTTCAAATTCTGCCGCTCACATGATAAGACGTTGAACCGTGAACCGGATTTTTGTTCCACAGCAGCGAGTTTTGCATATTTTTGCGTGGCAATCCATCACAGGCTAGGTTGGTTCTTGCGGCAGCATGTGTCAGCAATCCAGATTGGGTCTTCCAGCAGGGGTAGGAATTCTATTAGGTTGGAGGCCATCGCCATTAGAAACAAAGAAAAGGAAGAAAGGTCTAGGACGGTAAGACACGCTGGTTTTGGAGGTCCAGGCCCAGAGCTGCACGTGCCACGCAGCACCGTTTGCAGGAGCTTCGTGATGAATGGCAGACCCTGGAGAGCTTGTTGGATGGCCTCTACGGTTGGTCATGAGCTCAGGTATCCAGTCATTCGGTACGTCCACAAGATAAACCTACGTAGTGACCATGGGTGACTGCATAATAAGGGGCTTTGTAACGCCTTGCTCCTTTTGCTTGCTTGCACCCCTGAACAACATCAAATAGGCAGGAAGTGCTGAAAGTCAGTGATGGCAAACAACTGATCCTGAGTTGATGTTGTCAACGTTTTTACTACCGTGGGAGGATGTAATGGGCATCCATGGTCATTTTTCGCTCCACCATTCAGTTCCCTGTGTTCAATCCATCTTAGTCTTAGTCCTCCAAGTTGGACAAACAGATTTTTTGTCGAAGATTCTACTGCTTTTGCCACACCCACGAACACACATCCCCAGGAACAAGCGCTGACCTCCTTAGCGTTTGGGTTACCAGGTTAGCCTCCCCGACCTCCTTACTCTACGATGCGGCCTTGCTGCGGCGAGCCCGGACCCTGGGGCCACGAGTTGTTGGGACTGACTGAGGGGTACTTGTACGTTGACCGAAGGATCTCCGGATTCCATCCTCACGTATACGATAATTCAATAGACGTGGTCCACTGGATATTCTTCCAGACAAGCCTGCAAACCATGTTGTGCCAATGCTTCTGAGGGTGGTGCTGCAGAATTCAATTGTTCATTCAGGACAGTGTGGACAGTGTCTTGCTGTCTGATCCCCTGAAGTACCTCAGGCATTTTGGCAAAAGGATGCCAGTAATTTGGGTTTGCCGTTTCTATTCTAGCCTTGCGGTCAGTGGTCAGAGCCCTCCGTGCCAGATTCTGCCATCGGTCCAAACGGGATGCAAAAAGCATTTGTCATGCCGCTCAGGTTCATCAGTACATGGACCGCGTCTTGAAGCTTCTGGTGGATGCCGTAAAGAGGAACGGATGCAGCATCATCCACGCATCCTACAGCAAGGCAGGGCATTCGTTGCAGTCAAGATGCTGCAATTCTCTGCTGGCATGGTGATTACAATTACCAACATCATTGATGTTGTTGTGTTTTATATGTGCTCAGTGAAGACTATTGCTTCCCTTCTGGAAGCTCAACACTTGGTCAATTGGTCAATACTACAATACCCGCTTGGAGGACAGAAGTACTAGCCCACATTTGCTGATCTACTATATATCCTAGCTACATCTGACCATCGAATCGCTTGACGGAAGGCTTTGTCAAAGCCCACTGGTAAAAGAGAAAATAGGCTCAAACCTGCCGATCCCTGGCTTCCCCCCTTCATAGTCTGTTCTACATGCCCATTTCCATGAGCTATGTCAACTCCTTCATTCCTCTTCCCCATTCTCCTCCGCCCCTTCATCATGAGCCGTCGCACATCCAAGCGCTGCCCCCCGGCCTTACCACACCGTGCCGCGTGAACACCGCCATGGACTCTCCCCATCGCGTCCACTTCGCTGAGCAGCTCGTGGAGACCGAGCCCGACAACGGCACTGCCTCGGCGGCGCCAAGCCGAGGCGACGGCGACGCGGCCGAGGGAGCCCAAGCGGCCCAAGCGGCCGAGGCGGCCGGCGCGGCGCCGGTGAATGCGACCAAGGCTGATGGCAACTTGCCCACCTGTGACTTGTATGAGTTGTGAGGGTGAGGAGGGTGAGGAGGGTGTGACTTTTTAGGGGGAGTTGTGTATGAGTGATGTTCTTTTGGGGGATGGTTGTGTCCGAACTAAACACAAATAAAGATCCTTAGTATATGCTGTAGACTTTGATATCAGCTAGATTAAGCTAGTATATGTATGAGTGACGAGTGTGTTCATTGTTGCCTTTCCTGTTCTGGTCTTTTTGGGAGGGGCAGTCCCTTTGGAGTGACTCATCCTATGCACCACTTCTGACAGTCGCCAGTTGATCCTGCTATCTCCTGATTCTTTGCACAAACTCTTGAATTGCTTAGTTGAATTGCTTAGTTCCATATACTTTCCAGCTCAAGCAGAGGTTTCGGCCAAGAGCGTGGTTTTTTCACGGAATGATGCCTTTAGGCTTCTGAGAACACGTACAGTGCTACTTTTCACCCGGAATGACGTCATCGCGGAATCCCAGCAGCTCCTAAGAGCTCCTTTTGCTGGAGGAAACGATCTCCTTTTGACTGGCAGAATGGTGATCCATCCAGCAGGATTCATTTACCCATCGAAAAAGACCGCACCTGCCACAGGCTACTACCTTGCCACATCTGGTACAAAGACATACGAAGGAGAATATCAATGGGTAATTGAGCTGCTTGTCCCAAGTAGAGCTTTTGATCAATTTGTAGGTTTCTTTGTCTTTCAAAATCTGTCAAAAGCATCGATCAATTTGCTCAGAAATCCAATTGCTTAGAAATTGAGTGATTTAAATAGGAATGTCGAGGAGTTTTGTTGGTGAGAGCAAGTAAGGCTGGAGAAGGGCTGGAGTGCATGGCTCCCGGGCAATGAGCCATTCCAAGGGAGCACCGCAAAACCCATGCGCTATACCTTGGGAAGGTGTCGTGGTTCCAAAAGTGATTGCCTGATGACTGGGATGGATATGATCTTTCTTTTGGGCATGTTTTCTCTTGAGATCGTCACAAGCTATTTGTGGTGATATGATGAAATATGGAGTAGAAGTTGCTCCACACCGTCTCAGGGTCCTTATGTGCATTTCAAGATTTCTGGGAAGCCAAGGAGTCTCAAACAGGAGATCAATGGGACCCCATCTTTGCACAGAAGGGGGACAACGTGAAGGAAGACCAGTTGGGATCGCCCCAAAGTCTAAGACTCAAACAGTGCCCAAGGTCTTAAGCCTCAGGGTGTTTCTGAGGTTGAAAAAGGGGCCATGTTTGGTGTTTCGAGAAAGAGATGCCATTTGTATGGTGTGAAACTCCTCCCAGGTATGACTTCGAGGTTCACTTCGAGAGCGAGTCCCATGGCACTCAAACCAACTTGACCACAGGGAAGGTCCGTCGAATCCAACGGCTTCAGAAGGGCGAAGCGTTCCCTGCCACTTGGCGCGGTTTCACGGCGCAGAACTGCGCAGAAAGGGGTACAGTGCATCCTCCCCGCAGAACGGGGTACGTTGGAATGCATGCCCCGTTTGGGGGGGCCAGTGAGGGGAGCGGATGGGCTTGGCAGGCTTTGACTGGATATGTTTGAACTTGGAAGAGAAAGGAATATTGCTCCTGCGGATGTCAAGGACTGGGATTGTATTGGGAGTTTCATGCTGGACAAAATACCTGTAGTCAGCGCAGGTCTGTTTGAATTCTGATTTTTTAAAGCCCGGGCAGAATTTGCATAGGTGTTCAGCCGAAAGAGTCAAACCAACTCAGCTCAGGTCAAAGCAGATTTGATATGGATCAAAGCCCGAAGAATCCCAAAGAAAACCAATGAACACAATATTATGATGCAACATGTGACATAGAGTGTCCACAGAATAGATCCTGTTCCATTGTTCCACTTGCCAGCCGCCGGGCCGTCCAAGTGATGATTGGCACTTGGCACTGCTTTAAGGGATGCATCCAAGACATCAACGGATCATCCAAGAGCGATGACATGCTTTTGGAACGTGGACAAGGATTTCGCCAACGACAAAGCAATTGATTTCAATTCTAGGTCAAGGTCGGTCTTTCTGTATCAACTAGACCGACCACGATGTACACTAGACTAGACCATTGCATTGCGTTGCTACTAGACTATAACGATAGATCCTCCAATGCCCGAGGCATGGGAAGGCACTGGAGTCCGTCGACGTCCCGCCAGCGCAGCGGCCGGCGCGCCGGCCAAAAACGCGACAGCTGCCCCTGCAGACTCGGCGGCAAAGGCATGGAGTTGATTTTGGTTGAAAATGGTTGAAAGAACTTTTTTTTGCTCCAGGTGCCCCACAAGCACCCCTCATACTGTCAACACCACAAAGAAAGCCTTCAAGCCTTCATAAGCCTTTCATACAATCCTCTGGAGACGGAGACACACACAATGTTCATCGATTTGTTGAAGCCTTGGGCAATGAGACTGTCGTGTTTCCATGCTCAGCCTTTGGCAAGGCAGCCCAGTCGAACCGCACAGCTCGCCGCAGCGGTTACCCTTGGCCACAGCCGCAGGGTCCGACGCAGGTGACCAAGAGTCAGCCTGGGCGGCCGCAGGTGTCGCAGGCAGCGTACAAAGGCTCAACCACCACTCCGACGGCTCCCGGTTTGCCGCGCTACATGAGACCATTGAAGTCCAAAGCCTAGGTGCCAGAGGTGATGATGGGCGTTGTAATTGTAGAATTTGTACAGTTCTCCCTTGTGCTGACCTGGGCTGAGTTTGCACAGCTCGGGGGCATTGTATAGACACCTTTAACTCTCCTTGTGGTGTGAACAAGAACGCATCGCTAGGAGGAACTGTCAATGAGGGACACCATGACGAATTTGAGGCTGCGTTCTTCAGTCTTTAAGCCTTGAAGCCATGTCAACATCGTTGGACATTGAGAAACAGGGACCTCCCCAAAGTCTTTCACTGCAAAAACAAAGGTGTCCCTCAGGTTACGGCTCGACGTTCGCCCACTCAGGCATGCGAAACCTGGTGGGTGGGGAACCGGCGATGTTTTTGCCCTCGTTAGAAGCTGAAAACGGCGCTCCAAAAGTGAACGGTTGGCCTGGCCATGCCCATGTGTTTGGACCTCGTGGGAGAAGGATCGATGGGTGGCCCTGGCGAGGTACATGAGATGACTGGACAAACTGCCCTAAGCCTCGCAGGCTTATGATCCACCTGAACACAACAAGTTGTCATTCACTTCAGTAATGATATCGATTCTTCCTGTTTGTACCGGAGGGGTCATGTGGGAAATGTGTGGAGTCACCGGAAAACCCATTCCCCCTAAGCAGTCCCTAACCATTCTGCCTCTGTCGATGTCATCAACCAAACCGCCCCGTGGTCGGACATCGGACCCTGCCAGGTGATCATGGAAACCTTCAAGGTGCGAATCCCGGACGTGGTCAACTTCTACCAGGCCCGGACGATGTCGGTGGACACTGGTCGTTCGGACCGATGCCGGCGGCCACAGCGGTTGTCTTCCCGGTGAAGCTTGTGGGCCGCACAATGAATGGGAGCAGAAGCAGTTCTTGGATGAGCATGGAAAAAGGAATCTAGAAAGATCCACTCACTTAGGTTGTGTGAACAGACCTGCAGTAGGAGGTTGTATTCTTTTGACCAGGGTTTAACCTCCCAAGCAGCCTGCACCAGGATTCATTCTCATGATTCAGGATCAATAGCTTGAGGCTGTTTACCAAGATGCTGGGATGGGCCTCCGCAAGATTCGGGGCAAGTTTGGTTGAAGAATGCAATTGGGAAAACAATGGAAAACAGGTCGGCAGAATGTGCTCAGCTCAGCTCAAAGAATGTTTCTGATTTACCAGTTTGCCAGTAGCTGCGGAAGGCAGCAGCCGCCCTTTGCCAGATTGAGATCATGAGGGGTTCTGGAGTGACTCCTGTGTGCAGTGCTATGTCCGAGGCTTTGCTGCAGAGCATGAACGCAATAAAGGCTTTGCAGCCGTTGAACTTGAAAGAGGCCATCCGGTGTGGCTTGAGTGTTGTCCTGAACAATTCCCAAGGAGCTGACTAATCAGGTTGGCTTTGTTTCGTGAAGTTTCCAATACTGACTCGCAGAATCACCGGCCTTTAGAAGAAGGAATGAGGACCACGTCTCATGTCGGCGGCTGCGAGTCTTTCACTCACTAGCGGGGGGTATACATAGCCAAAAGTCGCAATTCTATCGTTGACCTGGTTGTGGGTGCAGAAGGCCAAGAGACACTGCCTCATCGCCCCATCCGATTGTTCCTTTCCAGGAGGGTCTTCCCAGCATCGGCCAGGAAGAGGCCCAAGCGGCCATGTACTACGGCATGATTTGGTTGGATCCATCGGACCGTCCGAAAGGGGGGGAAATTGGCTCCTGAAATCTGGAAGGGTTGGGGGCTCCCTCCCTGTACAGCAAGAGTGATAAGAGCTCAATTTTGCATATGGAGTTCCTTTCATGCTTAATGATTGACAAGAGTATGAGGCACATGGCTTGGATCTGAAATCTTCTTAACATTTCTTAACAATGAAAAGCACTTGTATAGCCGCCCTGCAGGACCTGTCTCTTTCCTTGCCCCGTCCTCGTAAGTGGTCTCGCAACTTCTGCATGGGAGTATATATAAAGAACCATGATGAGTGAAACTTCAATCCACTTGTGTGTGCTCCGCTGCTGCACGTAGAAGTCTTTGCCCATTTGCAGAAACCACTGACCCTGAGTAATTATAACATTTGAACCCTTGAGGTATAAAGTTGAACCCTTGAAAGACTCTTTTCACTATGTTTTGGAGATTCGATTCCACGCTGATCTTCGTGGATGTACCAAGTCATGATTCATGATGATCCTCAAACCTGCATTTCCTCACACCAGGACTGGGCGGGGATTCCTATCGAGATCGACACCGGTGAAATCTCCTGGGAGGCGGAAAGCGAACTCTTTGGGTTTGCAGACTGGATCTTGTGAAAGGGTTAACCATCGTTGACTAGATCTACAATCTACAACTCTTGTTGTGTACATGCTCACATCCAGCATCCAAAAGTTCCTGGGTTTGAGAAAGGTCACGTCTAAAGGTTTGCCCCTTGCAGAACATGAGTTCCACACAAGCTTGGAAAGCTTCTAACATTGCATCACCACCTTCTATCTTCTACCTTTGGGTCCAGCAGTCTTTGGCTCACGCGACTCACTCAACTTCCCACTTCCACTTTACCACTTTATGGCCATGTCCAGGTGTCCATATCCAAAATTCACAAACCATCCTACGGCCCTACTGAGAAGACTCTTTACACTACACAATTGCATCTGGCGTCGTCCATCACAGTTTACCGCGCCCGCAACATCTGCAAATGCCCATGGCAGTCAGAGCATGCACCACAACACAGTCAAGCAACCCCTTGAATTGAATTACAATCACTCTGGTAGAGGAGCTTCCTCGCTTTTCCTCATCTTCCACACCCTTGGAGCCCTAGGGTGGTATCAGACGAAACCAAATGCACTTCAGAACGCTGCCACCTATGCTATGCTCTTCCCATCCCTGGCAGGCTGATCCATCCGTGAGCCGCAATTGGAAGCTGGCAGAATATTTGCCACCTGCAGCCGCTTGCTTGTTCAAGAGGAGGTAAGAGGCCCTTTTCTGTGAAGCTGCTGAGCTTCCTCGAGACCCGATGACAATGCTTTTGCTCCAAGTAGTTCGGATGGGTTAGATCGAGGATACCAATCAAATGAACTCGTTCTTACTTTGAGAGAATGAGCGAACCTTGAAGCAGGGTGTTTTCACCCCCTATTATTGGGCAAAGTGATGCATGCCTCTATTTGGAGACATATTGATTCTGATAATACTGTGATGTTTAGTGATGATGAGGAAGTGGGATACAGATGTTCTCTACTGAAATCTGAGTGCGCAGGAACATACAGACAGACCTTTGTGGTCAAGGACAAATTGACTAAAGTCGTCCTGTGGTCCCCGCTCCTAGTCTCCGGCGCTTTCCCTGTTGTAATGCTGGTTGGTAAGTCTACGGTCCCCTGGAGCCTTCTTGCTGGTGGAAACCGAGTTCCCTAATTCATGTTGAAAGATTTGAAATATCTAGACAAGATCATCCTTGTTGTAGGGGAGCGCTGGGGAATCTTGGGGGAACGCTGGGGAATCTTGAGGTGCAGGGAGACATCGAATTCTTCGCCTCCAATCTGCTCTACGAGCCGGGAACCAGAGTTCGTGGAGAGATTCGATTGTGGCGGGCTGTCACGGTGCTCAAGACACGACAAGGGTTCCAAAACACAGAATTCTTGCGAAGTCAGAATGTTGCAGTGGTTGTTCCCAAGGGGACACTCAGTTTAACTTGGATTATTTGCGTGTGACTCTCGTGACTCTCGTTAGTTTCAATCATGGCTCCTTTAATCCCATCCCTCGAGGCCTCAAAAGTGGCTGGGTCAGCGCTTCGGCCTGTACGAGGAGGCAAAGGCAGGGCGGACGTCCCAGGTATTTATATTGATTGTTTTTCAAATTTATCCTGAATATTGAATGGGTCCTGTAGGCCCTGTAGACCCTCAACCCTCTTGCTCAGCGGGGTGGTTGATACATTTGATCCTGGCCAATGCAAGTTCCTCATGCGCACTTGACGTGCATTCTTGTCATAGCCTTCACCCTTGATGTGCTCGCGACTGGGCAGGAGAACCCAGAGCGTGCTCCGATGGGAGCCATGGAGGTTGATGAGGGCCAGGAAAAGGAGGAGATGAACAGGGTGGCAGGGCTTCTCACTCATATATTGCAATAGAGCAGCGGCTTTGCTCAAAGAAAGTTTGTCAGGTCATCGTGCACAATTCCAACTCTAGGCTGTGCACCTTCATCAAAAGCTGTGTGATTTCTGTGATAAAAAAATGTGTATATATATATATTATATATATGTGTGTACTGTATATAAAATTATATATATATCATATGTGTACTGTATATAAAATTATATATATTATATATATATATATGTATCAAGAGTGGTGTGTTCACGTGTTCACGTGAAGGTGTGTTCACATGTTCAGGACCTTTGCGATGATGAGAGGCTTGGTACATAGTTTGTTTGTCAACTGTGTTTGCAGTGAGAGGGCTTGGCCGATTAAATCAGCTTTTGGCTAGCATGCAATGCGAATCCCACAGGACATCCGAGCAATCGCTCATTCTGGCTTCCATTGATGTTGTTGGACGTACTCGCTTTGCCCTTTGTCTTTCCTGGGCTGGCTGGCTGGCTGGCTGAGAGAAACTCTCCTGGGATCCGGTCGCAATGGATGAAAAAAGAATAAGAATAGATGCAACACGACTATCCCATGCGGCCAGGGACGAGGAGATGCCGGAGGCAGACGCCATGCCACAGGAGATCGACCTGATTGCATGGGCTTAGCTGTTGGGTGAGTTATCAAATGGAAGCCCTAGATACTTTTTTTTTTTTCTCGGTAAGCTTAATTTGACATCTTGAACAAAACAATACTACGTCCCGTAAAGGTCAAAGAATTGGCATCATTGGTTGTTTTGGGGTTCATGTCACACGTTTTGCATGATCGACCCTTCAGAAATAAGTATTAATCGATAATGTAGTGTGTAAAAGTATGGCATATGGCTGGAAATCCGAAGAGAACCAACAAATACCTCTTTCCAGATACCTGTCTCTCGGCGGTGTTTCAGCGCCAATGGTTCCTCAGCTGTAGACATATGGGTGTTTTTGACCCACGAGACTCAAAACAAAAAACAAACCATTGAAACCATTGTTTGATAAGGAAAGTGGATAATCAGTCTGGGCAAACACGGGGCCCTGAACGCCACTGTCAGAGGTTTGCCTGGAATAGTGCGATTTCGCCCTCGACGCGCCGATCCAGGAGGAGACTGCAGAGAGTGCAGAGAAGCAGGACCAGCATGTGGCTAATTGTCTGGAGGACCGCCAGCCACAATCTTCAGAATCTTCAGCGGTTGCAGGCACTCCCACTGTCTCCGACTACTGCTGACTGCTGATGGAAAAGAATTGGCACCCTAGTAACGCCCAAAAGTAACGCACAAAGAAACCATGGCATTTGTGTCCCCGCTCCTCCCACCAACTGGCTGGCGGGTCTCTTCCTTCAACGGTAGCATGTGTTCATGTGTTATGATGTGTTATGAATGATTAAGCAAATGGAACCATGGTGCGCCGCGGTGCCCTGTTTGTGGATCAAGAGATGTCGAAGGGTGGACCCTTTTGAGCAGAGGCCTTTGTAAATACACCCTCCCACAATGGAAACAACCACCCTTGCAGAACTTGGAGCCTATCATTCCAGTCATATTCTGGGAAACACAACATCCCAGCAGAATAGTCAGCGTGCTGTAGTACAGTAGTACAACCTTAGTGTTATAAACTGATTGCCCGTGTGTCCCCTTGACGAGTATCAAGATTGTCAGACGCCTTTCTATTCCATGTACAACTTTGATGCCTCGAACGCTTGATGTTGTTCTTTCTGACTGGGGAGAGCTCTTGTGGATTGTGGGACTTCCTGGTTTTCATACCAGCTGAGAGGAGCTGCGAAGATGGATCAAGACCACTTGGTTCAAGGAGGGGTTTGTCAAGTGGAGGGAATCCGAAGGGGCGGGGTTCTGAGCTGTATACTGATACTATTTGCAGTACATCAATGGCCAAACGTTCCTTTCCTGATGTGAGAATCCAACAAAACAGGTTTTGCCGTGGATCACGCAGCCTTATTGCACCGGTGTTTCTTTGTTCTTGTCCACAGTACTACAGCGACTTGCATGCATATTTTGCGTAATGGTGCATGAGCTTGGGCTTAGGCTGCTTCCATTTGATGGCTCAACATGGCTCTTTGAAGGAAGGACTCTGAAGAAGCATTGACATTCTCAGGGTTCAGCAGGACACCGTAGGTTGTGTAAACGGTAGCAAGTGGAGAAAACATTAGAACAATGAAATGCAAAAAGTTGAGCACAAAGGCACTATTTTCTCTTTCACACCACCCATGGCAGTCCCATGGCATTTGCCACCCGTGGCTTGTATGATCGTGTGCTCCTTACAATTGGCAATGACAATTACCACCCATGCCAGCAGCAAACTTGTCCTTTGCAACCATTGAAGGGGGCAGTCAATGACTCACGGTGCATGCGCGATCAGTGTCAGTCCGCTGGCTGGCTTGTGTTTGCCGCCCAAGATCTTCGCACCCCAGAGCTTTTCCGACATCACGCCCTACAAGCAAGCCTTGGGATCACGAAGGCAACATCTGTGGTGACCTTCCATTACAGTGGCCATGCTGAAGACAAGCAAGGGCAAATTTGGTTAATACCTTGCAGTGAAAACCATGACTGTTCAAAGGAATGTGCAAAGCCACCGTGCAGTGAACACCATGACTGCTTGAAGTGTGAGAATTGTGCACGGATTCCTTGCAGCAAAGACTGCTCGAAGGATTGTGCAAAAGTGAGCCTGCTGGTGATTTTGGAGCAATTGTGCGAACGTGCGCACAAGGAGGCCAAACTGATCGTCCTCTTTGATGGCTGCCGTACAGATGGACAGCCGGTTTCTGATCCAATCGTTCAAAGGGGCACACTGGCCAACAGAAAGTATTTGTTGCTTTTTGCCTGCGGCCGCAGCAGGCAAGCTCAGGAGTATTTGAATCCGGACGGTTCTCACAGCGGTCTTTTCACACTCGCCTTCCTCATGTCCGTGCAGGCGTGTGACGAATTGCAATCCTTATGGAGCACGACACAAACAACACTTAAGAGGTTGGGCCGTCGGGGCGTGATGCAGGACCTTCAATTCATGGGCAATTTGCCGTGTTTTGCTTCCGAACCCAATGTCTTCCAAAACTACCGTTTTGCAGGGCTGACACAGGAGTTGAAGGAGATGCAGGCCACTGTTCTTCGGGTATCTCAAGACCGTGACCATTTTAAGACTAAATACGAAGTGGAAAAGGAGAAGCTGAGAAGATTCGAAGAACAAATTGTAAGATTGACAACGGAGAAAGAAGAACTTCAAAGTCAGTGTCAAGATTTAGATTTCAAGCTGCGTTCTTTGGAAGTGGGTCAATCGAGTCAATCCGCGGCTCATCTGAAATTGGTTGAGCTTTTGAAGATATATAAAGGAAAGCTCAGCGAGGTTAATCAAAAGCTCGAAAATACCAATGCCGAAATGAAGAAAAAGGCCAGTGAGTGCAAGTACATTAAGGAGCAGCTAGAGGAGAAAGAGATTGAGTTTCAGAAGGTGTCCAAGAAATGCGCAGAGCTGCAGAAGCAAGTTGACAATTATCAACACGACAACCTGTCGCAAAGTACTGACTTGCAGTGCTTTCAAATGGATAGAGATCTACAAAAGGAACACATTTCGCAGCTGAAAAGCCAGCTACAAGAATATCGAACGGAAAAGTTGCAGCATCAGAGTGAGATTTCAGAGCTCAAAAGGGAATACACTGCGAAAAGCGTGGCAATGCGGGAGATTCAGAAGCAGAATAGCGTCCTGCAGTTTCAACTGCGCGAGATTCAGAAGCAGAAGAACCACCCGGAGTTTCAGAACATTACTAGAGGCATCCATTGGATAGATAGAGATCTACTACAAGAAAGGTGCTATTTGCAACATCCAGAAGGACCAGTTGGCGTTTCATCTTCTGGCAAGCCATATCCGTGAAAATGGAAAAGATGTGTGTTTCTCATATTGTTTTTGGGAGAACCAGGTTTGCATCACATGTTGTTTGTTACAGCAAAGAACAAGAAGGCCTCCCGTTCATACAGCCCGATGGTTGTAAATATTCATGAAGTCTCGATGACTTTGGTCATGGTTGAAGAGTTTTGCACCAGAAGAGAGTCATGAAGTCAGGGGCCCAGTTGTACATTTACATCACAAGCGGTTGTTTTGCAGGTGCCAATGTCCTGGCAATGTTACTGACCGGTACCATGTTGGTGACTGGCCACAAGCTTGGCCTATTTATGTATTTTGGCCTGCCAAGATTCCCATGTACCATACCAAACAAGAGAAAGAGAGAGAGAGAGAGAAAGGGTGGGTCGAGAGACTATCCAATCAATTGTTAGGACAAATTGATAAGCACCTGGTGGTGGGTAGTTTTCCTCGTTGAAAGCACACCCATGTAGATATCATGTAGATGTGAAATTAGATATATAAATAAAGACTACTGTTTCCTTGTTAGCTGTAGAATGTGAACTTGTGATCCCGTGAGATTTTCTCAAGACGTGTGCCGCGTAATTTGCAGTGGTGTGATCACAATGTGATCGGTCCGCAAGGTCATAATCGTGGTTTGCTCACAGGAGGTGCGCCAGAAGATGCTCGACTACATCATGGAGATTCAGGTGTCGCTGCCGCATGTACAGGGGCATGAACATCCGGGCTGAACCCCAGTCTCGACATCCATTGGATCAGACCACTATCAAGGAAAGAGCCTTGGCTGGTACAAAGCACCAAACACTTTGGCAAACCAGGCGCAGCGCAGCAGCATTGGATAGAACCTGAAGTAATATGTAAAGCCAGTAGCTTAAGCCACCTTCTAGTCTTGTCTCATGTTCAGCGATTGTCGTGCAGTGAGGGTAATCAAGGGCGACTGGGGTCATAACATGTCATAACCATGCTGATTTGTGCTGGTGCCAGGGCGTTTGTTTATTTGTTTTAGAATTTGTTGTGTTCAGGTCTTTGTAGAGTTCTTGCCATTGGCCTCTGTCCTTAATTTAACCAATACTTAGACTTTAGATATACAGTAATACATCAGGTGATGTGGCCTCTCCCTGCATTCAGTGGGCAGGTCCAAAGACAGAAGCAGCTGGCACCTGAAAATGCAGACTTGGCAATTGAAGGTGCACTGGGCCTATTTTGCATTGCTCAGCCGTGACCGGTGGGATGAATACTGTTTGAGCACGAAGAGGTCAAGTCAAAGGAAGTGGAGGATTTTAGACGTTGAATAGTTTATATAGTTGCTTTTATTGTCGCAGGTGGAGTCGGTCACATGTATTGCACCCAAAGCTTGCCTTTTAACGTAAGTCAATGACACCCCAGCCATTCTACAGCTTGGAGGTCCTTCTGTGTGTTCCAGACATACACAAACCTTATCCTCCCTGCTGCCGTGTGATAACCAAAGCTCTCATATGATGTTTGGGCGTACAATCGAGTTTACCGCTTGGCTTTTTGAGGAGTCATCGATAGCAGTGATGATGAGGAGATCCCTGGGCGAGAAGCGGAGGACCAAAGCTGTTCACTGGAGTGACCGGGTGAAGGCTCCAAATCAGATCTGATGAACCCGAATTCCAGCTGAGCAATCGAACCCAAATCAAGCGGAGTGTTGGTTGAACGAACATGTTGGTCCAATGTGTAATCCAATTTGAACATGTTTTTGATTGTGTTTTGCTGTTGTGTTCTCCGTTTGTGCTCCTGTCAGACTGGCAATTCCTGCGACAGTGCCGCAGGATCCCCATGCAGTGGCCTTGAGGCGGCAGCGCCGACTCAGGCGATGACTCAAGCAAGCTGTGGTTGGGTCAGACAATGAGTACCGAATTAACGCTCTTCCAATCCGGAATCTTTGGCCTGGTCATCCTCCCCAACATGGAGATGGCGGTAAAAGCAACGAGTAATTTGATGTGCAGTGGTACGTTCTTTGCAGACGTGGCTAGATCGGGCTGGACCAACTCCCAGGCAGCAGCTGGAGAAGAAGTGGTCCTTCCCAAGCATCCCAGGAAGGCGAGAGACCCAGACATGGTTGAGGGATGTTTTTAACATACGGTGACACTGACACCTTCCAAATGAGAGTTGCCTACAGCAACTCCTAGAAATGAGACTCATGGAAGGAGTTTACTGAGGGTGGATGTTCCGGCCACTTCGATGCATGTGCCTGATCCTTCTTGGCTGAAGGTGAGCGAGGGGCTCCCACGCAGATGCATATATCACCTTTCAGATGTCCAAACAGATGAGACTCTGCCAGGAGATACAGTAGGTAAGCTACAGTAAAAGAACGGATTTAGGCAGATCCCTGTGGAGTGGGATTCTGGTTCAGTTGCTCAGTTTTGGGCGGCTCGTACTCACCAGTTGACTGAGAACATCCATTGGATCTTGAGCTTTGAGGCGTGCATCTCCGGGAGCCATCGATGTGGAATGCATGCGGGCTGGGGAAACTCGGAAATCTGCATTCATGCGAGTTTGTGGGATGGCTGACAACTGACGTTCGAATTTCATTGACTCATTCCACCCGAATCTGACTCGCTCAAGGAAATGGCTTCAGTTGTTCCAACAACGGCCTGTTCAAGTTCTGAAGATGTGATTGTCCGGGTCCGTTGTTGTTTTCTTGCAAAGATGGCAGACTTGCACCGATATCCCAAAGGGGCTGACATCAGCAGCACCGTTGAGCGTTGTAGACAGTGCTTTTGTCCAGATGTTGATCGTTACTGCTTGAGGCCTCACTTTGAACTCACTTGCCCTGTTTCAGCACTGAAAGTGCGGTTCCAGAAACTACCAACAGCAAATTGCTATGGCTATATATACATGGAAGAATGCCTTGCGATAGGGTCTGTGCAATGCTTCATGGTAAATACTTCAGATCGGACCTTGATAGTAAGCATCCCTTCAATAGCAGCTGTGGAAGGGATGCGTTCAATAGCTTCGCAGCCATATTCCTCATCTTCCCGAGGCCATCATACAGATTTACAAGTTGGATGACTGCATCACGGAAGAGGTGAGCACTGACCAAGACGTTCCAAGACATGGCACACCCAGAGCTAGCTGTTGAGCACACAGTTGGTCCTCAAAAGACTTGCTGAAAGACCAAGTCACACTTTTGCGTAACTTGCCCTTGCAAGCTCATGTCTGAGGTCTTTCTAAGACGTGGCACATTGTGTCAAAGCTGCGCGTCCTAACATGACAAGTATATACTTTTTAGTAGTGGGCGATCTATGGTGGATTGGTAGAACCTGTGTTTATTGTCCAGTTTGGTTGTTCGCCACTGCAGCGCGTGCCAGGTGGAGCACTTGCGGGACTCCATGTGCGAAAGTATTCGAGCAGGGAGGCCCTGTTTTGTGGGTGGTTTGCCAGCTGAATGGCTGAATGTTTTGTTGGCGATTTCTAGCTTCGTTGAAAAGAGAGTGCAAAGTTCGGAAGTTTGGACGGGAGTCCAACAGTCTACAAACATCATGCATGTTTGTCGATGTTTTTGTAGTTTGGTTGAAGCCCAGAGCGTTAGACAAGTCCAAGTAACTCCAGCCCCACAATGCTAAAGACAAATCACTGGCGGGCGCATGTCCGCCATTTTGTTGGGACTTGTCAGAGCCTGCATATGCCAACCTGTAAAACTGCAGCCTGGGCAAACATGTCCTGAAAGAAGCTATGTTCGTGATATTCGCCTATTCCAACTTGAGATCTACCTAGGCCTGAATTGGGCCTGAATGAAATGGTTTTGTATGGTTTTAGTGCGTCATTCTGTGTCCAAACTTAGGGAACTAGAATCACACTGCTAACGACAAAATCCACCACCAAGGACACGACGTGGCGGTGTCGGTGTTGGTGGTGAAGACAACCTCAATTCGGGTGGACAGGACAGACCAAGACACCTACACTTGCTGCGTCCGACCCGAGGTGAGCGCTTTTCAACATGGTTTGGACTTTGAGAGCCCGGCCTTTCCTTTGATCTTGCGGGATGTCTCCTGTGCGAGGCGACGAATCTTAAAATCAGGACCAGGCATGTGTTTTTGGATAGTCAAAGATACATATCATATCTGAATCATATCTGAATATCAAAATTGATATGGCCCTGATTGGGAGAATTGCCTAGTGGGTGTTGCTTATGAGTTTTTGCTGTCCTTTGACCTTGTATGAAAGAAGCGTTTGAGTTCAAGGGCTGAACTTTCCTCAAGCACACCCACATTTGTGACTAGATGGGGACACTTTCTGAGGCTGCCCACTCATAGTTGTCTGGATGGCTTAGTGTTACAGTAGATCCAAAATGTAATGGGTAGGCCAAGTCGTGTAAAAAGATGGTACAAAGGGAGAAAGTGTTTTAGAAGCATGCTGTTGTTTGTCCCCGTACGATCTATTGTGGTGTACCCTGTTGCAGTAAACAGGCCAGAAAGGGTTTTAGTGAAGCCATCCCTAACTGAGTGTCCACTTAGGGCTATAAAAGTGAAGCATCTCAAACGTTTGACCAACCAGAAATCCATCGTTGGCCACAGGTGTTGCGTGGCCAGCCACGTGGATGTGACCTCCCATCCCACCAGGGGGCCAGGCTTGTGGGTGCGAAGCCCAGGTCTGCGGTTTGTGGTGTTTTCAGCCGATGCAAAGCATGTGAGATTGCACCAGTCTGACTGGTAAGCTCAGGGCTGTAGCCCGGAGTTTCACTGGCCTCTTGGGCTTCTGGAGTGGTAATATGAAAGGATTTGAAGTGCAGTGGGCACATGGGTATCACAAACAGTGCCATGTCCAGAAGTTTTGGGCAAGGTCTGCACCAAGTGTGACAACTGCTATGACAAGGCCGTGTCCGGAAGTGAAGAACCACGCCCAAAAAGGAAGTATATAACATAACCGGATGTAACCGGTGTTGATTAGGGCCTTCTTAGTGACAGGGCATGAAGAATCCATGTGCAAAATTGAAGTTAAGATCATATATAGATCTAATATTCGATGCTTTCGAGCCGTCTTGCGGTGCACAGGCTTGTTGACAATTTTGGCTCCACAAGTATCCTTTAAATTCCTTTAAGGTACACACGGGGTGCGGGGCCAATGCAAATGGGTTTCAGCATTTGGTCAAGAGGAGAGACAAAAAGGTACTTGCATTACAAGGACATGAAATGAATCAAAGCCAAAGCCCAGCATGTGGCGTATTCCACAAAGAATTAAGTGGTAGCATTGTTTTGACATGTGTTGACAGTTTGGACCTAAATCAGTGAGCTATCCAAAGCAACAGGCCTGGATCAAATGAAAAGTGTCAGGATCCTGGATAGTGTTTGGAGGTGTTTGGAGCCCCGCATTGCTCTTGTTTGGAATGATGCTTAAGGATCCGACTTGCAACAGTTGCACCCAGACATGCTCCAATCTATATAATATGAAGCACCTGATACTGCAGAACTACTCCTTTTCGAAGGCCGTGCAAAAATCCCTCGAGCACAGGACGCCATGCAGGCGCGCCTGGTAGACCTCTTGCACCGCATCATTCAGGCCGGAGCTGCACCCAATAGAGCTCATGACACAGACTAGTCCAGGTGCTTGGAGGGTTCAGAACGGAGGTTGTCAGGAACCGATAGTGCAAGCTGGTAGCAGGCTGCTATCTGGGTTGTCAACAATCAGCATGATCACTGAGGATGCGGGTCCCAAGACCTCAACATGTCCCTGAAAACCCGCGGAGGCTTTGCAGGTTTGCACCCATATATATATATATATACAATCCGGCTAGTGAACATCATGCCAGAGCTAGTGCATGGTGTCATATGCTTCACAGAATGCACAGAACAACTGTCAGATACGGTTGCTAATCTGTCGGTTGATATGCTTGGTCCTTGGTCTATGACCGTTGCAGGGATTTCAGGATCAGAGGGCATCCGAGAGCATCCGAGAGCGAACATAATTAGAGCGTGCGAGCAAGTCGGTTGCCGAGAGGTTGTTGGTTCAGGTCAAGGGCTCAAGAAAGGGTTGACCAACACAGATGAGGTACAATGAACCATAAGGTCGGCCAGAAGGACTCGCTGGGAACGCACATAGGGGAAAATCTTATATAAAAGAAGGGGACCTCTCAACAACTCTTGTTTCATATTGTTATTATTATATGTTTTATTGCTAGTGTTATTGTTGTTTTTATGTTGCTTGCCATCTGACTTCTCCTGGTAGTGCTGAGAAGAGTTCCACCTCTTTTTCAAGACTCCTGATCGACTCCTTTGCATGTTGGCTCAAACGCTTGCTCCTGTTCGAGTGTGCAACTCATGTCGGCCTTTGCCAGGCATGGCAAGCCCAGGAGGTGGTGTGCAAGAAGCGTCTCGGACAGCGGCAAAGGGTCGATGGATCTTTGCAGCAGTTTCATTGGTGATGGTCCAGTGCAAGGGTACGGACGTTCTGGAGGAGTGGTATTTGGGTTCCAAAAGAAAGTGGGTCAGGGGTCCAAGGGGTCAGTGAAATCCTAGTCAATTAATGTGTGCAGAGACGCAGGGAAGTCGAATCATCAGGGATTGTTCCCCCCACCGTGTGAAGTACTGGACCTACACATCCTTTATATAGTTAATGCATGTCAATGCGTCCGTGTGTGGCCAGTTCATCTCAGCCCCGTGGCATACCAAATTATGACACACCACACCGATCATTTATGTATATCGCTGTTTGATTATATAATTTTTTTTGCAGGGTGTTACGTATGCATGACCCTGAGGTAATTATAGAGCTATGGTTTTGCCCAGAGCCACGTGGTTCTGCCAAAAGTGTTTTGAGTGGATGGGAAACTGATGATTTCGTTTGAAAGACTGACATTGCAAAGGTCGAAGCCATAAGCCACACGGCAGAATGTTGCATACAATCAGTAGCGCATCCCGAAGAAAAGATCCATTGAGGTGCAAAGGCCTGCGCAGCGCTCAAATGCAGCAATTCTGTGAGTGCTTTGGACGATATGAGGCTTGCCAGCGTGCCCTGCGTCAATATGGTAGCCTGGTCAAGTATATGCGACTGTTTGGGTGAGGGTGAGTATTCCCCCACCGCGGGTTAGCCTACCATGACTTTGGGAAGGAGTCACTACACATTATATTGTCAAGTTATGCTGGTTGGTCAACTGGTTGCAGTGAGCAAGCGGTCGAGTCACATTGATTGTTGATCTTCCATGGTCAGGGCTGATTGAGCCCTTGTGTTTTTTTGGTTTTCACTCATTGGTTTGATCATGTTTGACCATCAAAGTCCAAACGGGCAACAGGTCAGAGCACTTACTGTATATATATATATATAAAGACATTGCCGGCCATGACCCATTGGTTTCAGACTTATTGCTGGTTAAAATGGGCAGTTCCCGCGGTCGACGCCTGCCTTTGGGATGGTTGGTGTTCCCGAACCTGGGGAGCTCCGAAACAATCATGGCCAAGTCTGGCTGGGTAGTGAAGTCTCGCCTGACTTTTGACCGGAGTTTCCCGAAGTGTCGGTCAGAAATGAATTCAATAATGGCACAGCAGTATGCCAACAGATTTTTGTTGACCCCAGCAGCACTACATGTCACTCTCCAGTTGTGGCGTGATCCTCCGTCCTCCGTGCTTGGTTGGGTTTGCGTCAATTTGCACCTTCATCATCTGGGTCCCCTGTCGAGCACCCTCGAAAAGTGCGTTCGGCCAGGTGAGCTTCAAGAGCGAGGACTTCCATTTGCTCCTCCAAGTCTTGAGATCTCTCACGGAACCGCCAGGAGCCCAAAACCTGGGGGCACCCAGAGTGAGAGAAAGCCTCAGGATGCCTCAAGCCAATGGTAATCCATCGGATGATTGCGAAGCAACTGGCAAGCACATGCTTTCATGGTTCTTTTGGAATGGAGGACCCCCATCCATCATTCTTGAGTAAAGCCAAAAGGGTCCATTTCGTTCCTCAGGGGTGTGGACCCTCAGAGAGCCAGATGCCAGTTTGTTGGTGCCTTTAGGCATGACCTGCCCTGGCTTCGGGAGAGCTTGGACTTCTACCAGGCCCGATGCTGAATCTGTAAAATCAGGGTTTGCTTCGATACTTGGCCTCAGCTGCTCTGGCAGGCCTAGTTGTGGGGTTTGGCTACATACGCTTGGTATGCTCGGGCGCTGTGCGGCCGGCTGATGAGGGGTGTCGCTGGCAGCACGGCTGATGATTGCCCGAAACGCTGGAAGATGGATGTGAAGAATGTCTGGGTGCACAGTGCACAGGATTCAAAAGCGCTCAGAACCAGATACTTCCTGATACCATCTGATACCGACAAATCCAAACACTTTGCCTCTTTCGGCAACTCCGGGTTGAAAAGTATTAATAATGAAATCTTTTGCCTATGGCTGTGGCAATCATGGGGCCTCCTGTATCCATTGGTCGCGGATAGCAATGACGCAGGAATTGTACAATCGCAGGAACACCGGGGGATACGGTG